TTCGCATTATCACCAAAATCACACCCTCAGCCACTCTAGCACACACACACACACACACACACACACACACACACACACACACACACACACACACACACACACACACAGCCACACACACTCTCTCACTCTCTCACTCTCTCTCTCTCACTCACTCACTCACACACACACACACACACACACACACACACACACACACACACACACACTCCCTCTCACTCTCTCTCTCCCTCTCTCTCTCTCTCACTCACTCACTCACACACACACACACACACACACACACACACACACACACACACACGCACACACACACACACAAACAAACACATTGAGCCTTTCTTATCGCCTTCTTTCATTGTTTACCGGCTATTCACCATCTGTTATACACGAGAGCTCCCCGTTTTAATTCGATCTGGTTGGTACACTTCACTGTTCCTATTTTTCTTCGAGCACAACTAAAATCTCAAGCAACGGGCGTTCTTGTTGTTATCACTTTCTCCTTTTTTTTTTTTTGTTTGCAAGGCAAACTACCCAATTCTCCTTGTTTGTAGAAAATGTTATCTTTTTAACGACGACGACGACGTCGACGACGACGAAGAAGAAGAAGAAGAAGAAGAAGAAGAAGAAGAAGAAGAAGAAGAAGAAGAAGAAGAAGAAGAAGAAGAAGAAGAAGAAGAAGAAGAAGAAGAAGAAGAAGAAGAAGAAGAAGAAATGATGATGATGATGATGATGATGATGATGATGATGATGATGATGATGATGATGATGATGATGATGATGGTGATGATGACGACGGCGACGATAGATGATTACAACAACTCCCACCCACGAAGTATCCCCAATGCACCCTGTCCCACATCGCAAACCACTCTTCTTATCGCGACCCCACCACATCATCACACCTCTACGCAATTCAGCCCACATACCCGACTCTGGCACCGCGCCTGTCTGGCCGGTGAACACACAACAGGTCCGGTTCTTGACGAAATTACAAAGGCTGAAGCTGGACAGGCCACTTAGTGCCGGGCGGAGGTAATCATGCACGTGTAAACACGCGTAAACACGGTACCGGAGATTAAGCTGTCGCTCTCGCTGGCCCAGGGAGTCGTAAGTGGGGACAATTCAGCCAGTCTAAACCGGCGTCTATAGCGTCATGATAAGACCCCGCTCTTGCTTTGCACGTTGAAGACGTGGGTTCGGTTCTTATTCGAGAAAACATCTTTTTTGACGTACGATCATATATTTGCTGCTGTTTTATTTGTTTGTTTATTTGTTTGTTATTAGTTAGCTTGTTTGTTAGCTAGTTAGGTAGTTTATGGGTGGTTGACGGGTGCTCTGGTGTGGTTTGCTCCTTCTTTCCTATCAAACATCTGTCGTCCTTATCTCTCTTCTTCCTTTTTATGTTTGTTACTCTCCTGTACATTACTTTTATTCGTCGCTTATACCCTTTTGGGTGTCGCGGTACTCTCCTGTAACAACTCAATATCCTGGCGCTCATATGACCTTATTCAGTTGCGAGCGCCGTAAAACCTCAACTAAAACTAAGTTAGTTAATTTGTTTGTTTGTTTGTTTGTTTGTTTGTTTGTTTCGTAGGAGGAAGTATTCTGTATACCCCACAAAAGGCATCTAGAGGGGACTATTTTGTTGCTATTTATTTTATTGTAAGAACGTTTATTTTGTCTAACAAAGATGGGTAGACAGTCTTGTCAAATCTTTTTTTTCTTATTATCCTATTCCTATTGTATTTTCCTTGCCTTCTGAACGTTCTAGAATTAGTGATCAACCAACGTGTTTTGTGCCGGCCGGTGGATTTCAAACATGATGTACAGATGCTTCTAGGTCTTGACAGAGCAAATCGATGGGTGGAGTCAATCTATCTATCTATCTATCTATCTATCTATCTATCTATCTATCTATCTATCTATC